TGAAGAATAAATCTAAGTTGTCCGAGTCTTAAGTTGAGTTCGAGTCTCATGCGTTAGTTTTTGAGTTTAATTGGTGTTGAATAAGTCGTTGCTTACTTATAGGAAGCACGTTAGTCGTAGTGGAGTTGTGGAAGTCTGTTTCTATTTTCTTCTATTTAAGCAAGTCAATTCTGTAATGTTTCATTATCACTTTTCAATAGAACAAGTCAGTTCAGTATTTACTCTCTGATTCATTACATGTGCTCTTTCTCTACTTTTCTCCAACAAAATTCCATAAGTTTTTAAGATTTTACAATAAAATCCAAAGTTAATGGTTAACAACACGATGAATTTTGATTGATAACCAAACGTTTCCAATAGCACAGTGAAAATATAATCCCTAGATTGTTCGATCTATGCAAGTTACAATTTTGTGTTAAGCATGGTTTTACGTTATAGGTGTTGAGTTTGTATCCGAGAAAGCAATAAACCACCAACCTCGGATATTGCCAAGATTGCATTAGTAGAAAATTAACGACTATGTAATTTGCTATCGGTAGTATTTTTGTTATCATCTTGAAAATAGTAAAGGGTTTCCATACGAAAAATTAAAACATTGGAGATGATTGTGCTCGTTTTCTTCCTTCGCTATCTCTGGATACAACAATCTAGCACATGTAGCTTCAAATCATTGATAATTTTTTTTATGAAAAGAAAAACAAAAATTCACGAGCAAAATAGTAATTGTTTTACTTCTTAATACAAGTATACAACAAACAAATGTTGATTTGTTTTGTTGTGCATATATCTAGAATGTTAAAATGATAGATGAATATCTAGTGTTTTGGTCGAAAGTGCATTTGCTAAAATTTAATATCTAAAATTCACCGTGTAAAATATTAAAACATCACTAGATGAGATGGTTAACGCCGCATTTCTGTGTTCCTATAGTTTTACAATTGTATCTCGACTTTTTACTAATTATGTAGAGAAATTTCAAAAAATTGCCACTTTTCAAGTGTCATTTTATAAAAATGCCACATTTTTGAAATTTTTATAAAAATACTACTTTTTCAAAATTGTTTTTTATCTATATTATTTATGTTTGGGTTAATTATGTTATATTAGAGTTTAGTTTTGAGTGTTTAGGAGGTTTTAGGTGTCAAAACATTTTTTAGGGTTTAGAATTTTAAGATATAGGTTTTATAAATCTATAATT